AATAGGTGTTTGGAGGGTGAGGGTTAAAGAAATTTCGTAGAAAAGAGGATATAGGAAAGTTTGGAAAGGGGTTAATTTGTATCATCTAGAGAGAGATTCATGAGGAGTAACGCCTGTGTGGGGGGGGGGGGGGCGAGAGAGAGAGGGTACAACTTGGGGATATGTTTTTTGTATTCTACTTTCTTTTTGAGATGCTTGTTTTAAAAGGGGATGTGGGACGTCCTATCCGTAGACTTTGGTATTCTTTTGTAAAGAGGTTTCTTTAATGAAAGAAGAAAAAAATTGTTTCTTTTATTTGGCTTGAATTAAAACCACTAATTTTTCTCTATTACTGTTGATTTTGGCTAGTTCTAAGATCAAAAGAAGGCCGGATATAATTTTCGGGCTCCTTTTGCATCATTTGGTATCACAAAAAGGGTTAGCGACTACGATGACTAGTTGTGGTGGTTACAACTGTAGGAATGCCAAGCAAGACCAAATATACAAGAAATCGACAACTTGATAGAGATGGTTGAAAAATTGTCCCATAAGCGAGATTGCAACAACACACATCGAACAAGATGAGATCTACGGTGTTAGATCCATATTGTGCGAGTTCTTTTGGTGATCGGCATAAATTAGAGCGTGAGTCTGAATGGGAACGGCTTGATGTTACGCTCGATTGCGCTTATGGGTTCGATGCACGTGGCATCGACGGGAGCATGAATACAGAGAAAAGTTGGGTAACCGACAACCCTATATCGATGTGATTGGTGTCGGAGAGTAGATCGAAATCAGTGTAGAGACGATCATAGAAAGAATTTTACCTCATTTAGATCCACCCCTAAAGCAGGATCGTCCCAGGCTAGGAGACTGACACCTCCAACCAAGGGACTTGCTATCCCTACCACAAATATACGACTTGAGCATCACACAAGTAAATAGAGCAAAGTATGTGATTTCTTGATCAAAGAAAATTCTAAATTTGTCATTGGAGCGGTAGATGCATTGAAAGATACAAAAAACCCTTAGTCTAATGAGAAGAAGGGTAGAGTTAGTTATAGATCAATCTGCTGAAAGGAAGAGATGCTATGGGAGACGCACACCAAGGAATTGATGATAATTCCCTTTGGTGTCTCAGCTAGAGGGTTTATTATAGGGTGATACTCATCGAGTAGTGGATGTTATGTCCACCAAGGCATGGGCCAAGAATAGGTTGGTACCTTGTTTTGATGAAACTCTATTCTCTCTCTTCTTCCCTCAAAACCTAAGTCAAAGAAGACCAATATCAACACCTCTATTATGCAAAATTATGCAAGATCTGAGCACTTGCAAATAGGTCAAATGGTTTGTTCGAGCATTGTGAGAGAAGACTCATCCTCATTTGTGCTTGATGCTAGTGACATTGCACATACAAGGATGTAACATTTTTTGGTATGCACAAAATGTTATTTCTAGGATGCCTATGAGATGCACAGTATTTGGGCATCTTCCAATTGCAGAATTGTATATCAAAAGCATGAAGGATATAGAAGCAATTAGGCAAACACCGATCAATGCTCAGAGAAATGGGTTTAATTGAGGCATTTGTGCTGCCAATGCACTCTCATCAGCTTGTACCAAAGCTGATTAAATGCTCAAAATTGTGAGCTGTAGAGATGAAGGATCATGACAAGTTGTTTTATTGCTGCTACAATGTTGACAAGACAATGGGATGCACGTGATATTTGTTGGGAGCAGACCATCCTCAGTGATCTCATGCAGAAAATGCTTATATTTTTGTATAGATATGGATATTGTAAGTCTTCTATTATTCTTGTGCCCATTAATTCAATGTTGAGGGGTTTGTAAGCCCAAAGCCTTGCTAGGAGCATGATCATGTGGAGCCCAAGGGTTCAAAGGTACGCTAATTTTGAGCAGACGAAAGATGTAATCAAAGTTTCAAGGGAGATGAAAGAAAATAGGATTCAGTTTAATGAGTTCTTTTTTGAAGTTCTAATCCCTGCGTACTACTGCACTAAAAGCCCGCTTTGTGCGCAATTGCTCAGCCTTAGGCTCGGCTTCGGCATAACTTCGGTAGTCCTCTCCATACTGTGTGTCATTATTGTGAACTAAAGGAGAAAACTTTTATGTCTTTTAAGAGGATTGGCCACAGAGGATCAACCGTATGTGATGAAGTTTCAGATCTGGGGCTCAAGGATCTTTCTTAAATAACACTTGTGTTCTATTCTCTGGTGGATTTGGAGTTTGGACTGCGCTTGGGAAAAGGCTTCCTTGGTGCGAAGTCAAACTTCTTCGGCTGGAAGTGATTTTTTTTCTTCAGCGAGGCTAGTCGTTTTGATCCCTCAATCAGCAATGTATTCTCCACCATATATGCCAGATGAATGACCCTTCCAGGTGCATCACGATTGCTTCGTCTCATGCCTTACAAAGAAGGATTGTGTTGGGATGTAGGACTTCACCATAAGCTAAGGGAGGACATTCATGCCACAACAAGAACTCGAGACTTTTTTTTTTCCAACCCATGGAGTATGACGCAAATTGCATCTAGGATGTTCAAGAATAGGGCCGCTTAGAATTTTATTTTATTTTGTTTTTATAGGGGGTGTGGTTAGTCTTGTTTATTTTTTAATGATTGTTTGGATTAATTTTGAGGGATATCCATGTTGAGATTGAAAAGGGGTTTTTATTTTATGTCATGAGCAAATTAATGAGTTCTAGTTGGATGGATTTTCTTATTTGTCGGATTCCATGGTCCTATTTTGGTAGGGATTGTTAGCTAATTAAAAAGAGAAAGATGGGTGAGGGTTGATCACGTGAGGGTTAGAGAAATTTCTTAGAAAAGATGATCTAGGATAGAAAATAGGAAGGTTTGGAAGGGGGGGGGGGGGAGTGGAGAGAGATTTATGTGGAGAGAGAGAGGTTACAACTTGGGGGTATTTTTTTGTATTCAACTTTTCTTGTTGAGACGTTTGTATTAAAAGGGGAAGTAGACTTTGGTATTCTTTTGTAAAGAGGTTTCTTTAATGGAAGAAGAAAAAAATTGTTTCTTTTATTTGGCTGGAATTACCACTGCTAATTTTTCTTCATTGTTGTTGATGTTGGCTTGTTCTAAGATCGAAAGAAGGCCGGATTTAATTTTTGGGCTCCTTTCGCATCACTCGTTAAAAACTTAATGAATTTCATATGAATTTTTATGTAGTGGTCCTGCTAGATTATATATTCATAGATAATTACATATTAAAATATAAATAATACCTGATTTCTTTATTAATTTTTAAAAATAAATTTTATTATTCCTAGGTCTTTCTGTATAGATGTATAATCTGAGGGTTGAAACACATAATACAGGCCGGTTCACCTAAATCTACGTTTTTCAAGTGGACACCGCCCCTTCTAACTGGAAACGCCCAAATTTTGGTGTTAAGCAATTTTTTAAGGTATACTAGATTATATTATGCTGTATTATAATATAGCATATTACATTTTGTTAATAGGACAAAATGTCCTCACGTGAAGCTTATAAATTATTTTGCATTATTATATATAATATTATATTATATTATGTTGTATATTATATTTGAATTAAAAGAGTTTTCTTTTTTTCAAACCTCATGGTAGATGATATGGTCTTCTAATGTTATATTATACAATATAATAAACTTTTTCAGTGTTATATATATAATGTAGTATAAAAGAAAGAATATTTTATTATATATATCACATTATATATTATTTATGTAATCTTTTCATCTTATATATAAGTTAACAAATAATATTTGGTGAAATTGTTGTTGAAAGATTGTGACTTGTCATCATATAAGAGTTCGAAGCCATAAGTCATTGAAAGATTGTAAGTGACGTGTTATCATATAAGAGTTCGAAGTCATACAATAATTAAGAGACTTATGAGTCCTATCATTCTGCGATATATAGTACATTAGGTCTTTGTGATAAAATTTCATCAAACATATGGTTTAACACAATACTTTTTATTTTTAAATTTAGTCCTGTAGTACACAACCCCAATTTGTCTTTTTTATATAAGGCATACTTTATATCAAATAAACATAGGTAAAATTCCTGAATTACAAGAATTGCTGAAACTTTTCTCATTTACTGTAGTATCTATAAATGCATTAGAAAATTCCTTGAGCATGTCAAAATAGAAATATCTGAATTGTAATGCGCAAAACATGTGTATCCCTCGCATATATATATATATATATATATATATATATATATAGTAGAGAGAGAGAGAGAGAGAGAGAGAGAGAGAGAGAGAGAGAGAGAGAGAGAGAGAGAGAG